ACTGGGGGGAACTGGGATTGAGCTGGGATTGAACTGGGAGGGGACTGGGAGGGGACTGGGATTGAACTGGGAGGGACTGGGAGGGACTGGGAGAAACTGGGAGGGACTGGGAGTTACTGGTTTATACTGGGACAGATTGGGATTGAACTGGGATTGAACTGGGAGGGACTGGGGGGGGAACTGGGATTTGCCCATTTTTGTCCAGATTTCCACATATTTTTGTCCAGATTTCCCCAGATTTTTATTCAATTTCCCCAGATTTTTGTTCAATTTCCTCAGATTTTTGTTCAATTCCCCATTTTTGTTGAATTTCCCCGTTTCTGCCCCGTCTGCAGCCTCCTGGAGCAGCTGCACAAGCACCAGGGCGCCGTCCTGCAGCCCGAGCTGCGCTCGCCCTTCCGCTCGCTGGGGGACGCCCTCAGGCGCCTGCTGCCCTACCACGTCTACCAGGGGGTCCTACCTGGGGAGCAGGAATGTCAGAGAGGTATTTATATCGTGATAGTGAACAGGGATATCGTGATAGTCACGATAGTCATTGGGGTTAATGGGGATATACCATAATGGGGACGCCCTCAGGCGCCTGCTGCCCTACCACGTCTACCAGGGGGTCCTACCTGGGGAGCAGGAATGTCAGAGAGGTATTTATATCGTGATAGTCGCGATAGTGAACGGGGATATTGTGATAATGGGGACAATGGGGACGCCCTCAGGCGCCTGCTGCCCTACCACGTCTACCAGGGGGTGCTCCCGGGGGAGCAGGAATGTCAACGAGGTATTTATATCGTGATAGTCACGATAGTCATTGGGGTTAGTGTGATATCGGGGACAATGGGGACGCCCTCAGGCGCCTGCTGCCCTACCACGTCTACCAGGGGGTGCTGCCGGGGGAAATGGAGTGTCAGAGAGGTATTTATATCGTGATAGTTGTGATAGTGAACAGGGATATCGCGATAGTCACGATAGTCATTGGGGTTAATGGGGATATCACCACAATGGGGACGCCCTCAGGCGCCTGCTGCCCTACCACGTCTACCAGGGGGTGCTGCCTGGGGAACAGGAGTGTCAACGAGGTATCTATATCGTGATAGTCGTGATAGTGAACGGGGATATCGCGATAGTCATTGGGGTTAATGGGGATATGGGGATATCAGGGACAATGGGGACACCCTCAGGCGCCTGCTGCCCTACCACGTCTACCAGGGGGTGCTGCCGGGGGAGCAGGAGTGTCAGAGAGGTATTTATATCGTGATAGTGAACGGGGATATTGTGATAGTCACGATAGTCATTGGGGTCAATGGGGATATCACCATAATGGGGACGCCCTCAGGCGCCTGCTGCCCTACCACGTCTACCAGGGGGTGCTGCCGGGGGAACCAGAGAGGTGTCGTGACATAGGGAATATCGCAATAGTCACAATAATTAATGGATAGTCACAATAATTAATGGGTAGTCACAATAATTAATTCCCCATCAATTCCCCACTAATTTCCCATTGATCCCCCATTAATCCCTATTAATTTCCCTACCAATTCCCCATTAATTAATTCTTCATTAACTCCTTATTAATGCCCATTAATCTCCCATTAATCGCCATCAATTCCCCATCAATTTCTCATTAATCTCCCATTAATTTCTTATTACTTTCCCATTCACTTCCTCATTAATTCCCATTAATTCCCCATTCATCTCCCTTTCATTTTCTATCAATTCCCCACTAATGATCCGTTAATTCTCCATTAATCTCACATCAATTTCTCATTAATCTCCCATTTATTCCCCAATAATCCCCTATTAATTACCCCCATTCAATAATTAATTAATTAACCCCCCCCTTGCAGTGGACGAGGAGTTCGAGGCGGTGTCGGAGCAGCTCCTGCGCCGCACCCGGGCCATGCTCAACAAATACCGGCTGCTGCTGCTCGAGGAGTCCCGGGTGAGCCCCAAAATACCCCCAAATATCCCCCAAAATACCCCCTGGGACCCCCCAAAATACCCCTGGGACCCCCAAATAACCCCCCGGGACCCCCCAAATACACCCCCGGGACCCCCAAACCACCCCCTGAACCCTCCCCGGCTGCTGCTGCTCGAGGAGTCCCGGGTGAGCCCCAAAATACCCCCTGGGACCCCCAAAATACCCCTGGGACCCCCCAAATACCCCTGGGACCCCCCAAAATCCCCTGGGACCCCCCTAATGCCCCCTGAACCCTCCCCGGCTGCTGCTGCTGCTCGAGGAGTCCCGGATGAGCCCCAAAATCCCCTGGGACCCCCAAAATACCCCTGGGACCCCCAAATACACCCCCAGGACCCCCAAATACACCCCCGGGACCCCCAAACCACCCCCTGAACCCTCCCCGGCTGCTGCTGCTCGAGGAGTCCCGGGTGAGCCCCAAATACCCCTGGGACCCCCCAAAATACCCCCTAAAATCCCCCTGGGACCCCCAAACCGCCCCTGGGACCCCCCAAATCCCCCCTGAACCCCCCCTGAGACCCCCAAACCCCCTGGGACCCCCAAACCCCCCCTGACTGCTGCTGCTCGAGGAGTCCCGGGTGAGCCCCAAATTCCCCGGGACCCTCCCAAAATTCCCTGGGACCCCCAAATACTCCCCCGGGACCCCCTGAACCCTCCCCGGCTGCTGTTCGAGGAGTCCCGGGTGAGCCCTGGGACCCCCAAATCCCCTGGGACCCCTTGAACCCCCCTGGGACCCCCCAAAATCCCCCTGGGACCCCCCAAAATCCCCTGGGATCCCCTGAACCTCCCCTGGCTGCTGCTGCTTGAGGAGTCCCGGGTGAGCCCCAGGACCCCCTTGGGACCCCTGAACCCCCCTGGGACCTTCTGGGACCCCCCTGAATCCCCCCTGAACCCCCAAACCGCCCCTGGGACCCCCAAACCCCCGAGGGAACCACGGGCCCCCCCTGACCGCCCAGTGCCGGTGCCCCCGCAGCGCTCGAGCCCCTCGGCGGAGATGGTGATGATCGATCGCATCTTCATCCAGGAGGAGAAAACGGCCCTGGCGCTCGACCGGCAGCTGGCCCGGGACAGGCCCGGTGCGGAACCGGGGAGAACGGGGCGGGAATGGGGCGGGAATACCGGAAAATGGGGTGGAAACCCCGGGAATGGGGCGGGAACCCCGGGAAATGGGGCGGGAACCCCGGGAAATGGGGCGGGATCCATGGGAAAGGGGCGGGATCAATGCGACCGGGACAGGCCCGGGACAGGCCCGGTGCGGAACCCGGGATAACAGGGCGGGAATGGGGCGGGGATCCCGGGAATGGGGCGGGATCCATGGGACCGGCAGCTGGCCCGGGACAGGCCCGGTGCGGAGCCGGGGAGAACGGGGCGGGAATGGGGTGGGAATACCGGGAAATGGGGCGGGAATACCGGAAAATGGGGTGGAAACCCCGGGAAATGGGGCGGGATCCATGGGAAAGGGGCGGGATCCATGGGAAAGGGGATCCCGGGAAATGGGGTGGGAATGGGGCGGGATCCATGGGACCGGCAGCTGACCCGGGACAGGCCCGGTGCGGACCGGGGATAACGGGGAGGGGATACCGGGATTGGAGTGGGAACCCCGGGAAATGGGGTGGAAACCCCGGGAAATGGGGCGGGAACCCCGGGAAATGGGGCGGGATCCATGGGAAAGGGGCGGGAATGGGGTGGGAACCCCGGGAATGGGGCGGGATCCATGGGGTGGGAATCCCGGGGAATGGGGAGGAGAAAACGGCAGCTGGCCCGGGACAGGCCCGGGGCGGAAACCGGGAGAACGGGGCGGGAAATGGGGCGGGATCCATGGGAATGGGGCGGGAAACGGGGCGGGAATCCCCAGGGATGGGGTTGGAATCCCGGGAATGGGGAGGGAACGGGGCGGGAATCCCGGGAAATGGGGCGGGATCCCGGGAAATGGGGAGGGAATTGGGGCGGGAATCCCGGGGATGGGGCGGGAATTGAATGGGGTGGGAATCAGGGAAATGGGGCGGGAATCCCCAGGGATGGGGTCGGAATCCCGGGAATGGGGCGGGAACGGGGCGGGAATCCCGGGAATGGGGCGGGAATCCCGGGGATGGGGCAGGAATTGAATGGGGTGGGAATCAGGGAAATGGGGCGGGGGGGATCCACGGGAACGGGGCGGGAATCCCGGCGGGAATGGGGGCGGGATCAATGGGCGTGTCGGGATGGAATTCCCGCGGTTTGGGATGGAACTTTTGGGGTTTGGCGCCAAATTCCCGGGAATTCACCCAAAGTCCTTTGGAAAAGAAAACCGGGAGTCAATCAAAAGGTTATTAAGGGTCAATTAAGGGTCAATTAAAGGGGCCAATTAAGGGTCAATGAAGGTCAATCAAGGGTCAGTTAAAGGGGCCAATTAAAGGGGAAATTCAAGGGCCAATTAAGGGTCAATTAAAGGGGTCAATCAAGGGCCAATTAAAGATCAATTAAGGACCAATTAAAGGGGAAATTCAAGGGCCAATTAAAGATCAATTAAGGACCAATTAAAGGGGAAATTCAAGGGCCAATTAAAGGTCAATTAAGGGCCAATTAAAGGGGTTAATTAGGAGTCCATTAAGGGTCCCTGCAGGGTCCTGGTGCAGCCTCTGGATCTTTGGGATCCCTGGGATGAATCCCGTGGGAAAAGGGACATTTTGGGCAGGAAATTACTGCGATTAATATGCAAATGAGCTCTAATTAATGACCCTTCTCCTTTCCCTTGCAGACGAATACGTCTCCTCCTCCTCTTCCTCCTCCTCCTCCTCCTCCTCGTCCTCATCTTCCTCCCGCTCCCACCCCCTCGCCCCCTCCTCCTCCTCCTCCTCCTCCCTGCCCCTCCCCCAACCCTCCCCCGCCCCTCCCCCGCCCGCCCCTCCCCCTCCCGCCCCCCCCAAGCTGCTGATCAAGCACGGGGGGGGCTCCCCCAGCGTCACGTGGTTGGGGGAACCCCGGGATTCCCCCGCCCAGAGAGGGGGGGGAGGGGGAGGGGGAGGGGGGGATCCCCAGCCGAGAGGGGGCGGGGCCGGGGGCGGGGCCGGGGGCGGGGCCGGCGAGGAGGAGGCGCTGCCCTCGCGGAGCCGCCCCCCGATGATGAAGACGTACGAGGCGCGGAGCCGCATCGGCCTCAAGCTGAAGATCAAACAGGAGGCGGGGCTGAGCAAGGTGATCCACAACACGGCCCTGGATCCGCCCGGCATCCCGCACGCCGGGGGCACCCACAGTGGGGGCACCCATGCCGGGGCCACCCATGCTGGGGTCACCCATGCCGGGGTCACCCATGCTGGGGTCACCCATGCTGGAGTGCCCCACACCGGGGCCACCCATGCTGGAGCCACCCACCCCGGGGTGCCCCACACCGGGATCACCCACACCGGAGTCACCCATGCTGGGGTCACCCACGCCGGGGTCACCCAGCAACAGCAGCCGGCGGGGATGGGACAGCAACAACTGAACGGATCCTTGGAGAAAAAATCCCCGGTGCCACCGACGGGAAATAGCGGGGGCGGGGCCGGGGGCGGGGCCGTGCCGTGCCGGCTGCCGCTGAGGAAAAGCTACCGGGAGATCAACCGGGAGATGATCA